TTGTCTTTTGTATTTTTTGGTCTCCATATAACGCGGTACGAATGATGTGATTTGTACTAAAATCTGTGTTTCTTATAGCGCTGTTTCCATACAACGCGGTAGCCGGTTTCCATACAACGCGCTACGAATTAGCTTGGTTTGTACGGTTAAATCCGAATTTCTTATAACACGGTTTCCATATAACGGGGAACGCACTTACCGCGTTAAAGGAGGTTTGACTGTATATATAAATATTTAAAGAATAAATTAAAAAAAAAAAAAAGAAAAAATTAAAAAATCAAAAAGATAAAGACTGATGAAGTGGGGGTCCCAAAAAAATATCGTGCGAAGTTTGTTATGATTGTAACCCTCCTAGTAATCTAAAATGAAAAAATAAAAAAGATTATTTATCTAGAGTAACGCTGCTATCGTACTAATTCTAAATAAGTTGAAAAGAAATTTGTTTCGCTAAATTGCTGCTGCCTAAAAAATGATAAATTTTTGTACCATTTATTTTGACATTTCCGAATTTTTAAAAAATAGTAAAAATTAAATATAAGTGTTAAACTATGATGAGTACGATAAAGAAATTTATTGAAAAAACTCAGATTAAATTTCAAGTTAATCGGTTTAGTAGAACTTAAGAAATCATGACAAAAATTTAAAAAAAAAGTTTCGAGAAAAACGCGTTTTAAATTTCGCGTAAAGTTACGTGCACACGCACACACAGAGTCAAAGTCACAAAGTGATATTTTATACTTATATTTATTCAATTTGCCATTCCTGCTTTATACATTGGACCTTCTTCGACTTCAAAAAAAAGCATTTTTCGCGTTTCTTTTGTTTCTAACTATTTTCAATAATCACTTATTAATCACTTGACTTATCAATTTTRCTACTGATGCACTCGTAAAACTACTTGATCGATCCGCCCTCGAAGTACTTTCCTTTTTGGGTATTCGATCAATTTTACTTTAAATAATTCAAATTTTGACTCAAAATATTTTAATTTCACTCAGAGCACATGCGTCCACATTGTTTAAAGGTTAGAATTCAACTGTTGGCAGCTGGATCTAATTARGCACTAAATATGAATGRTTATTTCAAAGTACATTAAGGTAAACTTCGGTTATTGTATTTTAACATATATATTAGCAACCCTGACGCAAACTTGACGCAACCCTGACGCTACCCTAACGTCCTTTATCCGATTCGTTCCAGAGGAGCTGGTTTTGATGCCGCGTCACTAAAACAGCTATATCTCGAAAAATAATTTGAATTATGAAAAATCCTCTTAAAGACATATTCTTAAAGGGCCGAGCTTCGGCAGTATGAGAAAATTGATTTTTTCGAAATTCTAGGCCAGAATACTTTCTTAATATAGTGACGGAAAAAAAAAATAAACTGTGGACTTTTTTTTAAATGACCTTTTTTAGGAAATTATCTTTAGAGTTATAGAAAGGTTTTCTGTATGTTTATTTAATTTTATTGTGTTTTGATTCTTMTACAGTATGTTATATTAATTTTATAAGGTATATAATCTGTAAAAAAAGTGAATTATTTTTATTGTAGAGCGTCGTARGATACTTCATTTCGCAAAAGTTACTATTTTATTAAAAAATCTTCATATTTGTTAATTTTATAATTAGCAATTAAAAAAAGAATAACATACAATAAATAACAAAAATTATTCTTTTAGCGTTCCTGAAACGACACAGAATTATTTATTAGGATTTGTTTTCTTTAATGTCATCTACGAGCAGTTAAATCTATCGGACGTAATTGTTTTTTTATTTCTAATCGCGAGTACTCATGCGTACAATACTACAAACTAGAGACATGTTTTCCAAGTATTACTGTTTTATTATGACAAATTATATATAACTATTATTCCTTATGACTATTAATACTTTTATTTATTATTTATATTAATTAATTATTGATTATGTTAAATTTTAATAAAGCTAATAAACAAAAATTTTTATTTATATTTTGGGATGAGCGCCTCCAAGCTAAATACTTAAATAGGCATTCGGGAGGAGATTAAACGTGGGCCCTGAATAGCTTAATGAATCAAAAGCAGTCGCCCGGAGAGCGGAATATCCGAGTTTGAGTCCCAGTCCAGTGTTAGTCTAACGGACCAATTATTTTCACGAATCCTACAATATTATTTGCGATTTAATTCTCCTCAATATATAATAATATATTGTGATTCCAATATAATATTCACAAACTTTGATCATCCATTAAAAATGTCCAATAAGTATTATTAAAAGAGTTATATAAAAGAGAAATATATTTCTTTTTACGTCGGTTTTTTACAAATTTTTCCACCTAGCCACTGTTTCATGTTCCTGGATTAAAAAGATCAAAGAAGGTCGAATCGTTTCCTTATACATTGTATGGAAATTTTATTTTTCTAGAAAAAAACAATTTGAATTCACACGTCATAGCTAGCTAATTTATAACATATTTTTGAAGGAAAAGTACAATAACAATGCATTATACGTAAGAACATTTAAATTTAAAAACAAATGTTATACATAACCATTTTAATTAAAGTTTTCCGTGAGGATATATAAACAGCAGCAACACTGGATAGCTTCATTAGACACACGAAGTTGTAGCTAATAATTTTGCTCGTCTAGATATATTTAGCAAATATGAAAGTTGAATGTTTAGAAGAAAATGCAGTAGTCATTTCTGGAGTATCAGGAAAATTTCCAAAAAGTGAGAATATCAATGATTTAAGGACGAATCTAATAAATGGAGAAGATTGCGTTTCCTCAGATCATACAAGATGGAAATTAGGTAAAAATCAGTATATAAAATAATTTTTTTACAAAAATATATTACATTACAGTACATTCTTTATGAGTTTCATAAATTAATATATTCTAGATGATTCGCCTAAAATACCATTGCGTTTAGGAACAATTTCTAATTTAACGAAATTCGATAACTATTTTTTTGGAATTAATTCAATTCAGGCAGAAAATCTATCGCCAGAGTTAAGAATGGCATTGGAAGTGACGTTAGAAGCGATCATTGATGCCGGAATAAATCCTGTAGAGTTACGGAACAAGAGAACCAATGTTTACGGGGTATTGAGTTTATATGAGTCAGATTGTTATTTACTGAATGGTGAAACTCATGTAAGTTCATAGAATGATCTAATGGATTCCATTTAAAGGAAAATCATTCTATGTACAATTGTTTTTATTTTCATTATAGCTGGATGGATATAGTCTATTAGGAAATTGCCGTGGTTTGCTATCAAACCGGATCTCGTTTTGTATGGGTTTAATTGGCTCAAGCTGCACTATCGACTCATTCAGCACATCAAGTTCATTAGCAGTTCAAAAAGTGTACGAAGCTATAAAAGCTGGAGATTGCGACTACGCGATTGTTAGTGGGGGAATCTTATGCCTACTTCCCCAAACGTCTTACCAGCTGTATGATTTAGGTAAAATAAGTGTATACTAGGTATAATTAATTCTATTTCTTGCATGTAAGGACAAAAAGGCAATTTTTCTTTAATTTTTTTCTTTCAATGATAATTAAAAATCTTAGAACAGCAAGTTAAATTTTTTCCTAATTTATAAATAATTTTTTGTTTTGTTTCATTATTTAGGTTTATTGTCAAAAGACGGGGTAAATAAATCTTTTGATAAGAATGCTTCTGGATTCTCGAGAAGCGAGTCGATAGGAAC